GAAGAAGTGGTGTCAAAGGGAGGGGTGGATGATACAGGATCCAGTTGAATGTGAAGAACTAGAAGGGGATAGGGAATCTTCAAGGTTAACCTGAGATAGGTGACCAACTTGACCTCAAACAGCAAATACTTTGGGAGCCTTAATAACTCAATATCATGATGTGTTGTGTGAGATCCTGGGGGAAGCCTGGGGAGTAGTATATCATATCCAGACCCCACCTGGACAGATCATACACAATTATTGAAGGAAGTTACCCTGGCACCTATGGCGCACGATCAAGCAGGAGGTTGATGTGATGAAGAAGTTGGGCATCACTGAGGAATATAAGAGCCCCTGGAGAAGCCCAGTGGTGGTGGTCCTGAAGGCAGATGGCTCCATAAGGTTGTGCATCGATCATCACAAGGTAAACGAAATAACAACGTTCAATGCCTTTCCGATGCCCCAGGTAGAGGATATGCTGGAAAAGGTAGGCCAAGCCAAATACATCTCAACCTTGAATCTCACAAAGGGCTATTGACAGATCCTGATGGCACTGACCAACAAGGAAAAAACTGCCTTTGGAACCCCATGGGGCTTATTTCAATTCAGGAGGATGCCATTTGGACTTCATGGGGCGGCAGCTTTGTTCCAGCATCTGATGGACCAACTGTTAGCACACCATCAAGAATATGTAGCCGTGTATGTTGACATCATCGTCTTCTCCAGCGACTGGGAAACACACTGCCACCACCTACAGGAGATCCTCAATGACCTCCAATGGGCCAGGCTGACCACGAATCCCCAGAAGTGCGCACTGGGAAAAAGAGAGACCAAGTTCCTCAGCTTCATGGTCGGACAGGAAAAAATAAAGCCCATAGCTGACAAAGTGGCAGTCGTACGATGACACCCCTTGCCTCAAACAGCCAGCTACAGTCTTTCCTGGGTTTCGCCAATTACTACAGGCACTTTATCAAGGATTTTTCAGAGAAGGCGGCACCCCTGACAGAGATGACCAGAGGACGGAGGAACCGGATACAATGCAACTCATCCTAGCCTTCAAACAAGTTAAGGCAGTCCTATGCCAGCACCCGGTGCTTTATACCTCAGATTTTGAAAAGATGCTTTGTTTGTTTTTTATAAATGGATGCCTCTGGCACTGCATTAGAAGTTATCCTCTTCCAAGAAGAGGGGGGAGAAGAGAGACCAATAGCCTTTGCTAGCACAAAACTGACACCCAGAGAAACCCGATATTCCACAATTGAGAGAGAATGCCTGGCTATCCAGTGTGGGGTGGAACTCTTTTGTTATTACTTACTAGGCTGGAACTTTGTATGAATCACAGACCATGTACCCCTACACTGGCTACAAACAGCCAAGCTAGATAACGCTAGGCTAATAAGATGGTCTCTCGCTTTACAATCCTTTTATTTTACAGTGAAGCACCAGTTGGGAAAGAAGAGTGGGAATGTTGACTTTCTGTCACGCACTGAAGACACGGCAGATACCAGTGAAAGGGTGAAGGGTCTGACCGACTGTGCTGAGGATTACGAAGACTTGGCAACTTTAAGTTTATTTGAACAAAAGGGGGGAAGTGTGTAACAGGGGCTCGGGCAGAACCCCTGTTACTCAGGAAACCCGGGGCACGAGTGATTAAGAGAACTAAAACACAGTGGTGGGGGGCTTAGCACACTGGGCAAGGATTAGGGTAATCATGGCCACTGCCACCCATAAAAGGCGGGGCTAGAAATCAAGCAGTTGCCCTTGGGGCACTGGAGTGAAGGAGAGCATTTCCTGTGGAGCTGACAGAGCAAGAAGGATGCTACGGGCAAGGCCAGCAAGTTGGACGTTGGACCGGTGAGACGGCGGATACTTACCCCAGGGGGTAGTGGCCAGTGGTCAGGTGGCAGAATCCCAGGGAGGTTGGGAATGTGGCCCTCGGAGACCGAGCTCCAGGAAACAACCGGCTTTTGAACAAAGTGGCAGAGAGACAGCCGCAATTGGGAAAGGAGCTACAGGAAAAGCTCACTCAGGGCACAGGAGCTGACAGGTGGCTGGCAAGACCGCAGGAAGGCTGGGGAACCAGACCCCAGAGAAGGATCCCCAGAGGCAACTACCTCTCAGTGGGAGTGCCAGAGAGGCAGCCATGGCTGGGAGCAAAGCAGCAGGGAAGCTGCAATCAACTAAGTGGTGATGTAGCTGCTTCCACGTTAATGAGGCAATTAGCGCGGTCAGATGCATTGTCCCCACTTCAATAAAGATAGGTACTTGGTGAATCTAACACTTGGGTGGCCTGGTGTTTCTCACCCTCTCCCCTCAGGAATTAACATCTAAATCTTTTTATCATCTTCTTAATCGTGGCAGGCAAGTCCTGGGGAAGAGAGGGGACATACATGTGATCCACCCCTACACTCACTTAAATCCATTCAGTGCCCCTCTAGTCAAAATAATTGCTCACCCCTGTATTAATTACTGAGCTGATTGTCAGCACCCATCTAGGGGCAGCTCCCGGCCAGGTGGAGACTGGGGCTGCCCCCGGCCAGTGACAACAATATTGTCAGCATGCAGTTTGGAGACCTGGGCTGGCCACAGTTGATTCTGACAATCAACTGATTGTGAGGCATCAGCCCCAGAGGGCCCTTGTGTATGGGCATGCCACACATTCAATTTAAGGCACCATACAAACTAGCTATAAAAATGTTCTACGTTATATGTGGAACAGTTATATGGCTGGTTTGCCATTTTATGGCACCTTAAATTGTATACACCTGTAGCACCCCTACCGTTTATGCCATGAGTAGCATGTAAATTGTGGCATAAATGCAACATGAAAAGGGACCCTGAAACATCTGGGGCTGGTTGCTGTTAGAAACAGGATATTGGGCTAGACAGGTGAATTATGAGTCTGTTCTTCCAAGCAACTACACCCCTTTCAGATGCCCTATGAATTATGATTTTAATCTGTTTGTAATGCATCTGTTGTCAAGGCTTGATTTTTTTCCCTCTGCAGGTCAAACATTAAAATTGGTTTTTCTGGTTATTATAGAAGTTTTCTTGATTTGTGAGAGTCTGAAACCTAAAATTTAATGAAGACTTTGCTTTAAGCATAAGGAAAAGGCATGGTGTATTGCTGATATATGCTGCAGGGAATTCAGTAAGCATTATTCTAAGGCTCTGATCATGACTACTTTTACTTGTACATTAATACAGGATCTAAAGGCATTTTATGAATGTCATTCAACCTTACAATAGCCCAGTGAAGAAGGTGGCATTGCACGCATTTTACACATAAGTACAGAGAGAGACAGCAAGTCAGACTCACCCTTGCAAAAAGCTTTGGGGATTTCAAAGAGGATTTCCTTATTCTCATTTGAACATTCTATACAAGGGTCAGTGATAATCTGCAGCATAGATAAAGGTGTAATGAAATCATGGGGCAGAGCTTATCGATTCATTGATGTTAGGGTCAGAAGGGACCTCAATAGATCATTGAGTCCGACCCCCTGCATAGGCAGGAAAGAG